CCACCACCACCGTCCACCACCACCGCCGTCAACGTCCACCACCACCCTCCACCACCACCACAATCGTCCATACACCACCACCGTACACTACCACCATTAATTTATATAGCAGTCTACAGACATTAAAAAACAAACAGTCTTCTTCTTGCAGACTGCAGACCTTCGGTCCACCACTTCTCCTGCAGATGTCTACAGTAGTGGTCCGCAGACTACAGACCTTTTCCTGCAGAAAAAATAAACACCCCCTAAGAAAAGACGGAAGGCTCTGTGAAGCACATTCTTAGAGTAGCAGCATACCCCAGAAACAGGTACATATCATTGGTTTGATTTACATAAGCTGTTTTTCCATTTCATCGCCACAGAAAAGGGGAAAAAATTGCAGCAGTTACTAACAGAACAAAATAAAATATCACATGAGAGAAGATTAATAAACAGAAAAGTACTACCAAGTTCAACATTGCCGAAGGCCAAAATTTGGACCACCGGAATAGCCGTCGCTGCTGACCACCACCACCACAAACTCGAATCAGAGTCCTTAGATCTGACAGAGAGCCAACACAGCTTAAACCCTCAGATCAAGAATATCCTTCAATGCTTACACCCTTAGATCCATCCAAATCAAGCATGGGTTACACACTTACACCGTCCGGTGAGATCCAACGGAGATGACACCACCCGACAGTGCAGCTCTGTCAGAGATGCAATGCCATGCTACGCCTTAGGTCCTGCTCAAAAGGGGAGGAAGACGAGTTGAAATAAAGAAGATGACGAGGACTTGAGGACGTTGGGTGGAAGAAGACAAGAGTCTAACGATACAGCCTCTGCTTTCTTAAAGGGTAAGGTTACGTACATCTTGACTCCCCACACCCCCCAACGGAGTTGGGATTAGGCTTGGTTTAATGTTGATGTTTTTTGAATACAAAATGCAGACGCAAAATTGGCAGGCACGATGATCTGGAATTTATTTCCAAAGAAATGAATAACAATTATACAAAACAGAAACTTTTTCAAGGAATAGCTGCATTTTGAAGAAATGAGAACAGCTGAAAATCAAGAGATGAATAACATACTCTCAGGAATCCTTGTTCCAAGATGAAACCCAAAATCATTGGCACTGCACTAAATACACCAATTTGAAAAAGAAACTGTGCATTGAGAGCAGCATTTAGTGCAGCATTATCAAATATATCTGCTCTTTCTTGAATCGTTTCACCAACCCCAGATTATGCCTGAGACAAGAAATTCAGGTGCATCCATCAGGAATATAGCTTGTAAAATTTAACAATTACAGTACATCAGATGGGATTCGTCCATTAAGGCATCCATGGCAGACCGCCTTACTGCCTAAGCGTCAATTAGGCGACGCCTTAATAACCATGACTTAGTGATAAAAAAATGTAGTTATGTATCAGAACATACCAAATAGGCTCTCCCATAGAGAAAATTGTAGGCACTGAGCACTGTTAACTACATAAACAAATGATAGCGAGCCATTAGATACATGAGGCAAATAGCCATTTACATGTTCAAGTATATAGACGACCAAAACAAGCAATAGCAATACTTGTAAATGACATCTAATAAAAGTAAGGATGCGGCAATTTGCACCCCTAGTTTAATAGATACACCTAATTTTGAAGAAAAAAAAATCAATCTAGCAAAATTGATTTAGCACATTTAAGAGTGTCTGAAAACACTAGTGTTTGCTGAAGAAGTAATGCGCGACCAACATTCTGCTAACAGCCTCACACAATGATGAGTGTTCTGGTAATCACTGAAGTTGGAAGTCAATGAGTGTCCAAAGAACACTCGCCAAACAGATGCTAAGCTAGTGTTGGTCAAGTGCCTTCGTTGTGTTCTGCGAGTTTGGGCAAGAGTTGGGTGTATTTAGAAAGTAATGGGGTGTATTTAGCCGCTCCATACATGTCGCGCAGCACTTCAGCCTGTCCATCTTCTTCAACTTCAACACACCCCCATCTACACTGCTTGTTTAATGGAGTGCGACCCCATGAAAGACGAACCGTCTGCTTCCCAATAAATGAACCATTTAATTTCTCCAATGCATCCTCGGCCGCGCTCCTAATAGCAAATTGTACAAAACCACACCCTTTTCCAGTTGGTATTTTAACAGATACCACATCGCCAAACTGAGTGAAGGACTGCCTTAGTTCTTCTTCATCAGTGATTTCAGAATCAAGTCCGCCCACAAATATCGTTGTGTTGGAAGAATCACTGTCAAACTGGGAGCCGTGGGTTTGAGCTCCGTTTGAAGCAAACCCGCCACCTTGGGAAGAATGCTGGTGTTGCATTGAAGGATTTGAAGGTTTCTTAGGAGTTGCAACGCCTAACCGCATGGGCCTGCTTGAACAGTACTCACCATTCATTTCAGTCATGGCACGTGACCTTTCATTTTCATCCCCAAATCTTACAAACCGGTATCCTTTTGAGCGCCCTGTGTTTGAATCAACAACTACCTTTGCACTTTTAACAGGAGAATATCTGGTGGCAAAGATTTCGTGCAGTAGTGTGTCAGTGACATCAGCGGCCAGATCTCCAACAAAAATGGATAGGTCGGAACTAGGTTCTGGGGGTGTTCTCTTATCACCAGTGCTAAACGAAGCCCAATTTAAGCGAAATGGTTGTTCCGCGTTTGGCATCATTGTGCCACTTTCTCAGCAGCCATGTGGGCACTGAACTCAACAAAGCCATATCTCTCTGACTGACCAGTCAACTTATTGCGAATAATCTTAACTGAAAGTACCTCTCCGCCAGGAGCGAAGCAAGAATGGAGATACCCTTCGTCCATCCACTGCTGGAGATCTCCAATCCAGATCGTCCGATTATCTTCGCCGCCGGAGCACTGGTTCTGAGGCGGCCGCGGCGGAGATAACTTTTGCTGCTGGAACTGCTGCTGCGGCGGCGGCCGCTGCTGGGGGTGGTTCTGCGGATAATAGGGCAGGTAGTGCTGGCCGTACATGACCATGGGCGCCGGCGGGTACTGCATCGCCATCCATTGCTGGTGCTGCTGCTGCTGATTCATGTCTCCCCCGCTGCTCATTTCTCGATTATTATATCTCAATTTAGCCCGACGAGGAGGCGGGAGGAAACAGAGCAGAAACAGGGCAATGATACGCAGAACAGAGGCGAAAGAGAAAGGATATATATATATATATGGGATTGATTCGAGTTAGATGACATCTTTCAATCAGATGACACTTTTGGTCAGATGACATGCATCAGAATGACCACCACCTTGTTTGAGAATGAGCACCACCTTAATTCAGAATGAACACTACACTGAATGAGTACTAGGTTCTTTCAGAATGAGTACTACGTTTATAATGAACAAATGTGTGAAAATCAACCATACGATGTCTTAGAATGAACACTACGTGGATTCCAAATGAACGCTATGTTGTCGTCTCGCTGGCTTGGAATGAACACTACATTGTGATGAAGAGTTGTGTGAGAATGAATCCTACGTTGTTTAAGAATGAGCGCTACATTGATTCAGAATGAGCCATACATTGTCATCTGACCGAAAGCGTCATCTCACCGAAACAAGTCATCTGACTGGAGTCAATCCCTATATATATATATATATATATATATATATATATATATATATATATATATATATATATATATATATATAATATTTGAGAGTTGAACTCTCAGAATTGCGACATTTGGCGTGCTGACTGGACCTTTTTTTGACACTTCATCAGCCACGTCATCAAAATCAACTTCCTCAATATTTCAAACGGGTTGGGCTTCTAGAATTGTGACATGTGGCGTGCTTACTAGACAACTTTTTAAAACATATCAGCATGTCATGTTAGCAAGTAATGTTTAAAAAATAGTTAACAAAAAAACTTATTATGCAGAAATTAAATTTCATATTTGTTACACACAAATTTCTCCATATAATCGCGTTTAAAAACTTTTATATTTTCATTTATTATTGGAAAATATTTAAATTAAATACTCCCTCCGTCCCTGAGTGTTTGTCCACTTTCATTTTTGCACACCATCCAATGCACTTCTTTAATCCATTTTATCTTGTAATTTGTATATTAAAAGATTATAAAAATTATATATTAATAATCTATATGTTAAGACGAATCAAACAAGATCACACATGACTATTTTTAGGCTTACACATTGAGAGAATTTGATGAGTCAAAGTGCTTAGATGAACAGTTCCAAAAGTCAAAAGTGGAGAAACACTCAGGGACGGACCAAGTAGTATATTTTGAAATTAAAAAAAACACCTATTCAAAAACTATTATCAAAACAAATAAATTTACTTTAAGAACAGATAGATTGGTAGGACTAAACGAAATTACATTTGATTTTTTTGCTTTGAATATATATTAATTGGAGAGATTTTCTAATTATTTAAAAAAAGAAACAAATAAATAAAAGGAAATGGATTTTTATGGGCACGCTTATTTAATAGAACATTAATTTTATTCCGTATATATAACAAATTCTAAATGAAATTAAAAGTATGTCCCATTTTAAAATTAGTATTTTTCATTTTAAAATTATTGTTTTCTATGTATAGCTTTGTAAAAATTTACATGTAACAAAAATTATCATTTCCATTTATAACTTTTTAAAGTGATCAAGACTTGATAAGTGAGTATTTATGTATAAGAAATTAAATTTTAATTGGTGTTCCTAATCGAAATATTTATGGAATAATATTAATTGTTATAAATGTAATTACTTTTATATTTAATTCTTAAAAAATATAAAATGTGCTAATTATTTTGACATCTATGTCAAAATAATATAAGTAAGTAATATTCTTTCTTATTTATTCATTGAACAATCAAAATAGATGTAACAAATATATTAGTGGATAATAAAAAAATATTTAAAGTTTTTAGATAAAAAATTATAATATTTATTTTATGATGCTTATTACAAATACAGAAGGAGAGGGGTCATCATCGGCTATAAACTCGCATCATTGAACACGTTCGAGAAAGAATGTACTTTGCAAACACGTTCCAGTATATATTTCCCAAAAAATCATCTATAATTTTCCATATACGAAACAATTATACGCACGCTTCATCGCGCTTTTAAGTGCATAAGAAACAAAAGAGAATTGATCTAGATTTATAACCCATTCTACTAATTTCTTTGAATATGATAATACAACTATTGTCTTTTTGTATAAAATATTATAAACAATGTAAGAAAATAGATATGGTGGACACACTCGATATATTTAAAATTTAAAAGTCGAGGTAGAAGTTTCATATGTTTAAGATACATTAGTGGAATCAATTTTAGATGATCCTGCATTTAGAGAAATAAAAAATAAAAATATGTTTAGATTATATATGCAACATGTAAGTTGTGTAGAATGATATATATATATATATATATATATATATATATATATATATATATATAAGACTGCCTACATCATATTTTATTTTTCATTCAGAGAAATCTATTTGGGAATCTTGCATTTATGTGTGAATTTCGGGAAACTTTGTTATGACATGAACTATGAAGAAAGAATCAAATGAATAAATATTCAAATTATCTAAAGTTTTCAATTTATTGCATAAAAGAAAAAGTTTAATTGTATCTTCTAAGGAAAACCATCTCATGTGCTCTATAATTTATTTTATGGTCTTGGTGTGAAGAGTTCTCATTACCATGAAAAATTTAAATAAATACAACTGTATGTTTTCATTAACATTTATAAATGGAAAATATTCATACATCACACAATAATGGCTGAGCAATAATGTACTCTGAGCGGACACATTCATCATCACAAACCATGTTTATCGTCCTAATATGGTGAAAGACCAAAATTTACACAATTGTATATTTATGGTATACAGAACGAGATATGAAAACAAATAACTCATTTTAGGTATCTCGAATACTTTATTGAGTACACCCTTTTAATAAAAGTATTATTTACATGTGTTTGACAATATAATACACATGGAACATTATTAACATGCTAATAAAAACAAATTGTTCTATTTGTTTCGCACAATAGGGAGAATAATTCTTTGACTACTGACAAAAGTTTAGTCAAAGATTTGAAAAATATGGTAGATGAGCATAATGTTTTAACACAGATATTTAGAAGAACTAAAAACTTCATGGATAATGAGCCTACTTCTAATGTATCATTGAGGCTGTTGAGAAGTAATACTTCATATATAATGAGCCCACTTCTAATGTATCATTGAGGTTGTTGACAAGTAAAACTAGAGACTCAAGAAATTATAATATCTACACAATACATTAAGTTGGTGCTCTAATAGTTAAAGATCTTGATTCTTAACACAAGTTATTCCTCAAGAATATAGTGAACTTCATTTATCCGAACTTATTGGAGAACATAAAAAACTATTATATTCTTTTTTTAAGACAATGCACTATTGGCACCCGTGCTCGAGGTTGTTGAATGGTAAATGAATTTGTCTTATCCTTTATTCCATGAGGTGAAAAGTAGTAATTTCTTATTCTTCATGCCAACAAGTTTGGAATTAAAAAAGACATTTTTTAGTACATTTTCAATTTCTCAAATATTATTTATTCTACCTTGGTGTTTTTGTTCAATGATAAAAAATTGTGTTTGAAATATATTTACTTGATCCGGAAAATATATTGCATTAAAAAAAATTCAGAATCGACAAAAATTTCGTCGACCCCGTGCATCGCACGGGTGAAAATACTAGTATATATGTAAAGTTAAGTTAACTTCTTAGAGTGTTGACATGTGGCATGCCACATGTGCATCCACATGTACATATAATAATGTTTTATTATATCCTATATACATGGTTATTTAATTAATCCATTAGTTTAAAACATACTACGTATTTTGTTTACATAATTAAAATAATGGCCATTAGTTTTGTATAAAATTTTGGCCTTTAGTTTAATGGCCATTAGTTTTGTATAAAATTTTTTATCTATAAATTAATGGTCATTAGTTTTGTATAAAATTTTTGTTTTTAAATAAACATACCAATACATATTCCACAAGTATAAAACATATTTTGTTTAAATAATTAAAATATATCTATAAAATATTTTTTAACTTTATCGATGTGTTGAAAAATTAAGTTTATATGGTTTTTAAAAACAATAAATCATTTCTCTTTTAATACTTTTAAAGAAAATACTTATAGAGTCTTTAATGCATGTACATCTATACTTAAATTATATTATTCGAAAAAGATATATCGTAGAGTTAAAAAAATATTAATCTAACACATATTATGTCACTATTAGAAAATTAAAATAAATAAAATTATATATATAGAATATCAAAAATTTAGAATGTATACGAGAACGTACGAAGCATGAGGTTAACACTAATTTCTTCTTGTAAATTCTAATTTATAATTAAATTGGGGCCGGAGGGACCATGTCAAAAGTCAAATTAACTTTTTGAGTAAATTCCATAATTGGTCCTTTATAACAGGGGGGTTTCCCTATTTAGTCCTCTTTTATCAAATATTACCATAGTGGTCCTTTTTTATGGATATCTTTCCACAAATAGTCCTTTTTTTGATCTTCTATCTTGTTGGAGTTAATTTGAGGACTAAACTATAATTTCACAATGAGAATATATCTTTTTTGTCATACACAATTCCAAAGGTTGTTCCGTTTGCGTCGTTTGTGAATTACATTCGCTTTCTACTACAAGCATAGTATACAAATGTGGTCTTCCGTT